ATTCCAATTTAAACTGGTAACATCGACAAATTTGGACTGAAAAACGAACATCAAAGAATAATTGATTTGAAACACTCCCTACGAATCAAAAAAAAAAATATATCTGAAAAGGTATGAAACTTGAAATCCAACATTTTCTCAGTTTTGGAGCGTTGATTTTATGATTATAAATTTATGAATGTGCAAAAATTTGATTAGTTTTTTTAGGAAAATCAGTTGTATATTAATTTGTATATTAATTGTATATTAATATAAATACAGTATAGTTGTATATTAATATGAATACAGTATATTAATTTGCAAATAAAGTATGAATTTTACTAATAACTGATTGTCGTTCATTGGATTTTTTCATTTCAATTATAATAAATTTGCTACTCAGATTTATGCCTTTTGCAAAATCTTTAAGTTATCTTTTAAGATTTTTTTTTTGATTCGCAGAAAAAAGTTTTTCAAACAAATTTATGATGAAGAAAATCAAAAACTTTGAGAATTAATGTTTGTCTCAGTTTTGTGTTCATTCTCATCTCAAACTAGTCGACACTATCAGCTTTGAAGTCATACTTCTAAAATATTTATTTATTTTCCTATCTTTTTCATTATGAGATAATTTCTTTCATTAAGAACTAAAAGCAAGAAATATGAATTTTAATATGCTAATAGAAATTGTAAAACTAAAAGTGAAACATATTCTCGAGAGAAATTTTCAATCAAAAGGAAAAATGTTTTTATACTTTGTATTCATGAAACCAAAAAGAAACAAATGTTCTGTAACTTTAAAAAGTATCAACATTTGTCAGAAGAATGTCGCATTTATTCATATGCTTTGAAATCATCATTCATTATAATTAGTTGCTTATATTTTACTAACCAAAAAATAAAAATTTTTTCTTATGGCATTATGATTTTGAGTATTTTTTCTGATAATTCCAAAATTCTCATTTTCCGATGTTTCACTGACAATTAATTTGGTTCGATTTCAAGATAAAACGGTCATTATAGAATTATAGTAACATATTATTTGTTTGATTACACAAACAAATCTTGATAATTTTTATTACAACTTCCTCTTTCAATTACTAATTGTTTTCTTGTTTATGTTTTGTATTCATGCTAGCATTTCGATTTGTAATCATTTTAATAAACCAGTTGGAAGGAAATTAACAAATCACGGATAGGTTAAAACAGATGGCACAAATAAAACTTAAGGATTTACATACTTCATCAAGTAGTCATCTTCCTTAACCAAGCTAGCAACTTAAGCTAATTGGCCTTCAAAGATTATCTCCGACCGTCATCCATCTTAAGCTATTCTCAATTTTTCAACTGTCATTTATGACTATATGACGCAGCCATAAAATATATTGATAAATTATACTTTATCTTTCAATCACCTATTTCTCTGTATTAGTATGTAATGAAGAAATGGAAAATTTTCCAAAATAAGTCACTAAATAATTCAGGTTTCCCAATAAGTTACTTATTTGTAAGGCTCCTTCATGTGATGACCCCAAGAGCATTTGAAGATACATATTTAAACCTAAAGCTTACTATTTTAAATTTATTTAAATAACGATGTCATTGAAAAGCTATGGAAAAAGCAGTTGCAGCAAAATATTCTGCTTACGCATTTCGAAATCAGCGAAATTCCTTCTTATAAGCTAAAACTGCTGTCACATATTTTCAAACTTCATATATTTTCTATTAATAATCCATTACTCAAAATACGAAAGTTGAAAAACTTAAAAAGATAAAAATGTATAATTCTTGAGGGACCGCTAACGTATATTCGTTATTTCTTCAGCTATTTTCAAACTTTGCTACATATTATTAAACTTCTCACACTGGGAGAGTTGCGAAAATCATTCACATCATCGTATTTTGTTTGAAATTTATCTGATAGAAAGATTTAAATTTTCATTTACCTATTTAAATATTTCAGTTTTTTTAATGTCTAGAAATTTTTCAAACTAAAGTTAAAAATAATTATTCCATATACATCAATATATTTTTCTTTTCTTGTATGCAGGAGTAATCCCTGTTCCTCAATATTCTCAAGACTGAAAAATGTTATCATCTCATTTGCACCCTTACATACAATTTTTTTAAGCATTACTTGTTTTTATATTTACATGTTATTTTTGCTAAAAATATCTTTAAAACGGGAAATAACTTCTATTTCTTTTTCAAGTAATCGTAATCTCTAATATTCGAACGATCTGGTCGTGCCACTTGCATTCTTTTCATTTCAAATTTTTTCTTTTTTTTTTCACTTTTTTAAATTTTTTTTCTTGCTCACTTTTTTCAAAATAATTCTTCCGTGAGCAGTAAAGACTCATTTCATTTTATATTTTTTGTAGTCAAGCATATCACATTTCGCTTTTTAGATTAATTTCCTTGCAGGTGATTTCTTTGCTTATTCAATTATATTGCTCAAACTTTTTATAATCCTTCATTTGCATCTTTATTTTTAACAATGCTTTTTAACTGTGAACACTGAATGTATTTTCCTAAAAAAAAATAAATAAATAAAATTAATGTGAATTAAGTTGTTACAAGGAATAAGTCACTATTCAGTGCTATCTAATGTGAAAGCAGTCTTGCTATTCAGTGTTGTAAAACATGTTTGACACTCATTTGTCAGTGAAAATTAGTATGCCAGACATCCAAATCCAAGGTGGATACCAAGAAATGAAAACAGCTATGATACGACAAAAAACTGTAAGGTAAGACATTTTAAGACGAATGAAAAAAACAATTTTTATTAACAATTTCATAAATTAAATTTGTGGGATGCAATTTGGTGCAATATTGCTCAATAAAACTTATTATATATTTTATTTCCTGATTATATATTTTAATAGCAGCTAAAAAGGATTCTCTCAAAATCTTATAGTTTATTTTTATTCGCGATTCAATCGTAAATGACATCAAGCGGTATGGTGACATTAATTCCTTTACTTCTTTTACCATTCATTCAATTTACTCTTTCTAGATAATATCTTATTAGTTAATTCCGTCTACCCTTCTTTAATTTCCAGTTACAGTCCATAATAATTCATTTGTAGACGTACCTGTTATAATCCACTCTTTTTTCCGTTATTTCTAATAACTGTTTTTTATTTTTCATGGAAATAAATTCGTTTTTATCAATTGTATATTGCAATTTTTGAGAATCTATAGGACAGAAAGTGCAGGTAAGGACTTTTAGTCATTTTTCAGGTTGATAAAATTGCAAATACGGTTGTGTTGCTTGCATAATTGTTTTATGTTAAATTGTTCTTATGGTGGGAAATCTATTACATTCAAAGGATTGGAACCCATCAAGAAAATTAAAAGCAATATAGAATTATGTGAAAATTACTGATAACTACTTGGTTAGACTATCAATTTTAATATTTTTAATGCTTTTCATAAAAGGAAAGACAATTCTAAACAAGTCAGTGAGGTTTTTCATTTTATAAAATTAAATTTCATTCGTCCCGTTTACTTCTTTATCTTCCGTTACATTATGTTCCGATATTTCATCTACTTTGATCATCCTAAAATTAAGCTATTTAAATCTGAACCAGTGTGATTTTCATAAGCTTAGGAAAAAAATTATTGCCAATCATAAAACTTTCAACAGTGCTTTAGCGATTTTTACACTCTTATTCTTTCGTGCTTATCTCTTTAATGTGAAAAATACTTAAAGTTCTGATGCTGTTTACTTATCAACTGAAATAATCAATATTAATTAGCAGTAAATTACATAATCTGTTCAGCACCGCTGTATGAATTTTAAATTCACATGTTTGTAATACTATTCATATTTTGAAAGAAATGCCAAAAGTGAGTTTCTTCCCATGGGACATTTTTGGAAATATGAACATTTCACGTTTTAAATCAAAATATATTAGACAAAGTATTTTTTTGGACTGGTTTTCATGGAAAATAAGACTATGAGGCCTAAAAGAATATCCAAGATTTCATTTTTCTATGGAATTTTCTACGATTGGACAAGTTTAAATATTCATCTTATGAATTTTCTTACCAGATCGTATTGATCAAATTTTCTTACTAAATCATATTGATTAGTTCCACATACTGAACAGAGAATAAAATTCAAGCAACTTCCGTTTTAGCTTTTTATTGTAGCTATTTTTTGAAGTTTTCAGTGTTAGCAATCAAAAAAAAAACTAGTGTAAAGCAAGCAATGACAACTTCTTTGACCATCCTCTGAAAAGGATAACAACCAATGTGAGTGATCCTTTTGTGGAGATTTCCAGCAGTCGTTGAGTCGAGAACAGATATCACAATACACAGAATTAAAATAAATGCTTAATTTATAATATATCCTTAATTGTTATTTATATCTTATACAAAGCAAAACTGATATCGCATGACTGCTAATGAATTATAAATATTTTTTCTGCTGCATTGCAGTGGAACTACGGCTGATTTATAAATAAAATATTTCTGTTCCACTTAGATTGGGTTGTTTCATTTTAATAATAGATATTTTATAGTAAATCGTTTAATGTATAATAAATCCTTAATTTATAATATATTTGCAATTATTATCTGAATCTTATATAAGGTGGTGCAGATGTCGAATGACTGCTAATGAAGCTTACAATAACAGCAATTATGAGAAATGTTTCCTTTTCAGAAGTCATTGGAAACTTAATAATAGAAATAAATGCTTTTTAAAATCATTTTTTCTTTTTTTCATTTTAATGATAATAGCTGTTCTGGACATTTCGTATGCTTAGCTTTAATAATGATATTATAGTAACAAATAACTATCTAAAAATCATTGCAGCAATCACATAAATGCTTTCTTCTTTTAATCTTTTTTAACTGCTTGGAAAAAATCAAGTATTCAATGCCAATATTCATCATATATTATTAAGTTAGCTTTTTTCCAATTTTCCTCTAAAAAAACTCAAAATAATTTAAAATTTATTTGAAGTTCAACAATAATAAAAAATGTCCAAATTTATTTCAGAGAAAAATAAATGGAATGTCCAAACAGTCCACAACTTTTCGATGAAAAGGATGCTATTGCATTATCCATTCTCAGTATTGTAAACGAATTTTGTCTGTAAGTTTGTTATTAAACTATAAATGTGTCGCTGTTGCTAATAGAATTACATTTGACGTTCTCAAAAAATCAATCAACTTAAAGTTTTTTTTAAAAAAAAGTTTTTTTTTTTAAAAAAAACTTAAAGTTTTTTAAAAAAAGTTTTTTTTTTAAAAAACTTTAAGTTGATTGATTTTTTTTTTTTTTTTTAAAAAGTGAATTGAGTATTTAATTGAAATTCTGAATAAGAAAAAAAACATAAAATGTGTTTGCTTTTTTCATTTATTTTTATCTTACGATATATATTAGAGTAATCAAAGCCCAGCAACAGCCAATGAATTTAGTTATATTGCGGATGAGAGATGAACGTAATCAGAAGCTTCATTCATACGAATTGAATTATAATTCAGCAAAAATATTCTCTCGATATTTCGACAAAATCACTTTCCAGGTCTTATCGTAAACTTCATAAATATGTTAGTATGATACTGTGTGTGTTTGGGTTACTCGCAAACTGCACACACATCTGGATCCTTAAAAGGCCGTCAATGTTACGATCTTCTGTTCATACTGTTCTCATTTGCATAGCACTGGCTGATAGCGGTACTATGAGTTCATATGCTGTGAGTATAATATTTTTAACTGATGATAACATCACATTTTTTCGATTTTTAAAACACTTAACATTTTACCTTTTAAATTGACTGAGCACTTAATGCTAATTCTTAAAATATTTTAGAGGAAAATCTCGATGCAACATGCAGTACTGTCTAGAAAAAAGTGTTCACGGTTTTTATTTTTATAGAAAATGAGATAATTTTTGATAATTATGATTATAATTTTATTACTTAATGATTAATCGAACTTTAATTTCTATTGACAGACCTCACATATGCAATATTCAACAATGAAGAGTTGACAATGCAGTACTATCAGCAAATTCTACATAATAGTATACTTTTCATATCTACATTCTCAATTGAGCTAATTAAGATTTATCTTTTGCGATATGAATTCTGCGCAAGCAGTACTGGGGGATACTCATACGGTTGGGTACTGCTGCTCAAACTACATGTAGTATTGAGTACTGCATTACATAGTATATCACTATATCTTCTTGTTTTCATCACTTATATTCGAATCTGTTCAGTGCAAACCCAACGCAGTCAGCTCCTTGAAACCAGAGTTGCTGGGTAAGTTATCTGGTCGGACACTTCAATTTATTGAAAAATCTTTCTAATAAATTCATAACCACTGACATGTTATTAGACTTTGTATCAAATCATTTATTACGATTTATGAGACTTTTTACTTTTTAGGCTTATATCACTGTTAATATCTTTTGCAATATTCGCTTTGTGCATTCCTACATTGTTGGCGCACGATATTGTTCTCCAAGAGAACAGTCCTCATTTCATAGGACTGAAAGAAATCCATCCCACAGATCTCTCAGAATCAGATTCAAGTTCTATTTCTAACAAATACAGTATCGGTCTCTCCAAAATGTTTGTCAACAACGATTGTTTCCTGTTGAAGCTGAATTTATGGCTTACTGGAATTATGATGAAAGTGAGGTTTATTAAAGTTTTTTTTTTTCCTCAATGATGACTGCAACCCACCACATTCCCTTCTGTAAAATTATTCTTGTCTTTCAGGTGATACCGTGCATATTACTGCTGTTTTTAACGTATTGTCTATTGGTAAAATTAGCCAAGAATAAGAAGAAACGAGTAGCACTGCTGCGAGAAAGAGCTAAGGACAGAGTTTACAAGGATCACACAACTTGCATGCTACTTCTGATGGTTTCTAGCTTTTTGTGTACTGAATTACCGCAGGGAATTATAGCTATTTTTAATGGTTTGTTACATTTGAAAAGAATTGTCAAATTAAAAGCATTACTTTGTGAATAAGCAAAGTACAAAATAAAAAGTACTGCATAAATGGGAGAGTAGGTAAATAATCAACTGGGTTAAAGTTTAACGAATTTTTAATGAAGTAGGAAGGAAAAATGGTATGAGATTCTCGGAATTGAAAGAAATTAAGCAAATATAAAAAGCACAGCAAGCACATTCCAATCATCTGTAGATTCAAATTTCAGCAGATTATTGTAGACATGGAACTTGTTACACATATTATAATTATGCTATTTTCCTTTCAAAATACTTAAATCATCTTAAGTCTTTTGACGTTCATTCATTCATTATTGTTATGAAAAAAATGAAAAAAATATGAATATTTTGTGCCAAAATTGGATAATTTATGGAATAAATAAATTTTTAATGGGTAAAAGGAATTTTCATTTCCAGCTATTTACACAGCTCAGTTTCATTTCTATGTTTATTTAACGATCGCCGATATACTTGACGTATTATCACTTATCAACTGCTACGTTGGTTTTACCGTATATTTCTGCACATGCAGTCGTTACCGTCGAACATTTTATTCCATAATACCTTATTTCGGGTTTGTTTGATACAAAACATATATTTGATGGATCAATCAGGAAATTAGAGTAATAATTAGAAATTATAATCCATTGTGAAAGTTGAGTAAAACTTACTTAAAAAACTTACTTGAAAGATTTGTAACGAGATAGAGAACCACAAGCAAAATAAATGAAGTCGATAAATAGCAGCCAATATCTCTCGATAGAAACCTGTAGATAAATTACAGTAAGTCAAATTCTTAATAAGAAGGGGGAAAACAGCACGACTGTAAAGTTTAGCAGCATGATGATCTTGAAATGAAGCAAACAGTTTTTTAATACTTATTTATCTATTACTTAGACATTTTGTTTGTTTATGAAGGAGAATTCCAGAGAACAAGAACGATGGCAGTTAAAAAAATGAGTTTAATCGTTATACGAAAGATATGAAATCAGTAAGTAACATAACCGATGGGTAGTAATTAACTGAGTTGCTATATATGTAGCTAACAACCTCTTTTATTGCAACAACGTAGGCAAAGAGGAAAATGAGTCCATCCATCTGCTATCATATATTTCCTGTCAATTCCGCTTTTTGAACAAAGGAGCATGTTTTTTACCGTCCGACAAAATAAAAATTTACATAAAATGCACTTATTTTTTTAGGATAATAATTTATTAATAATTAAAGAGCGCAAAAACGTGAACAAGCTCGATAGCTATGAGAAGAAAGGAGATTGTCAGCAAGAATGCCGTTTAAATGAAAACAAAGAATCACCAAAATTTATGAAGGACGAGGAAGCTAAAGAAACTATTACAATTGTTGATAAATAGAAGAAAATGCTTTGCTAATTGCCTTTGAAGGTTCTGAGTTGCAATAACTATTATCCTAATTGTACTATTTCTAAATATTGTACAAAATTAAAAAATACTTAAATGAAAAGTTAATTTGCGCAAACAGAGACGAAAAAAGTTTAGAAAATCCAAACAAATGGAAATTCAAGATCGAAATCCCAGTAAGTTCATAGAGAGAGTAAAACAGCCTTTGGATATCACTTAAAACATAATAGAGCGTTTAAGCACTGTTCGTCCACTACTTACAACAGATATATAAGATAATGAGATACACACTGTTTGCCGAGATTTGAAAAATGGTTCCAAATTATTAAAACCATTATTGTGATTTTGAAACAGAAAGACGAGGTAATGAAGATAATTGTCATCTAGAAGATCCTTTTTATCAATTTTTGTCACAGTGTTCGTTAAAAAATCGTGTATATAATAATATATCTGGGAACGATCAATTAAGTTTATTGCAGCAAATGTCACTGCTCAAATGTCACATCCAAGTTTTCATAAGGAACAGAGATGCACTATTTTTGTTATATTTAAGTTTGAAAATACAGCGTAAGCACAAATGCATCATTTGTCTGTACAGGAAGTTAACATACGTTGACATATGTCGCGATGCTAATATACAATGCAATTCACCATCGAAGCAACTGTGGAGGATAGCAAAAGCAATAGCCACAGCAGTAACATCCGTTTCATTTAATTAAATAAGCAATAATCATGAAGGTCCTATGTGCCCGAGACACTTCACCCATCTTTTTCTGTGTCTTCCATTCATTGCACAATGCCGCTTGGCCAGGATAAGCCAAGTTAAATCAGGCCTGTCAGCTAGTAGCATCAACACCCCTGTTCACTACTCTATATTTCGGCATACCAAAGTTACCACTCGCCATCATTTTTTGTAGATCTATTTCTATCCCATTATTGTTTCAGTTGTTCAGGAAATTAACAAAGGCCATTTTATCTTCGCACTTCTCATTTTTCAATTTCCGTTTTCTGTGGCATCAAAGTAAGCTAAATCGGAATGGCCTCTGGAGTTTCCAGGAATGGAACAGGCAATACGAAATATTTCAAATTACTAGAGGGTTCAGGTAGCTTAAGGCTGAAAAGTGTTCCTCCCAAAGCATTAAAATCATTAAGACAGCATGATTTGCAAAAGTTTATTGCTGTAGCTGCAAGCAAACATCGATTACAATTATATATATATGTATTCTATTCTTTATATCTTTGATTATCCAGATTGCTTTCTCAAATTAATTAAAACCGATTTACCCGAAACTTCTTGGAATACATGTCGTAGTGCACTGGTATTGCTTGATTATTAGATTCCTTCTTCTTTGTAAATATTTCCTCCTAAATTGAAATTTTATTACGAATAAAAGCAGTCACTAGTCTGCATTTAATACTGTATTAAAATTAGGCTTTAACATTTTATTAAAATGGGTCAAAAATAAAAAGTTAGGAAATAAGATCTAGTGTTTTAAAATTTGGGCAAATTCTATCAAACTTTTCCAAGATCTACTAAAAAAGATGATGGGGGAATTTGAGATGTTTCTATTACAAAATTTTCATTCCCAAAATTTACTACTAGTTTCTCAAAAGAAAAATTTCGAGAATTCGAGAATACCAATCATGAATTGAAATTGGTCCGGGAAGAGAGGTTGCGAATTTTGATGCAGCTATAGAAAAAATAAGAGAAAGAGATGTAGAAACAAAAGAAAAGGCTCTGTCTGTCTTTGTTTAAGTAATAGATTGAAAAAATGATCAGGCCAAAATGTCTCATTTGGGGTGAGGAAAGACCGATTGGACTGCTGAGAGCATAGGTCTGCTGCTAGCTATTGATAGTGTCATTATTGCGCTGCTGCTACTGCCATTGCCTTTGCCATCACTCCTATTGCCGCCAATGCTATTGGAAATAGCTTTTAAAGCAGATGAATAGACAGGAGAATGGAAAGTTTCATGAAATGTCAGTCGGATTCAACAACCGGAGACAGTTTGGCAATATGGTCATTTGATCATTGGCTGGCACCACGACTTTACGGAAGGTTATGAATCAGTGCCCACTTTCTTTAGTTTCTCTTAAATGTGACATAGTATGTCACTATTAGTTTGCAATCTTTTTCAAGACAGTTCCAGTTGTATAGTTTGAACTGTTTCGTCTATCTAACTTTAAATCTTCCTCCATCAGTCTTGTCTCCAAGTTTCTTATTCATCATCCTGAACGGAAGAAGGTTATGTCATCCTGCAAAGTTATCTATTTATTAAAGGCCTCAGTTAGTGCCTTTACGCGTTCCATTTTTCCCATCCTTTTCTTACAGTTCTTCATCATATAAGAAGGGAATGACAAATGAATTCTCTGAGGATAATAGGAAATGTGATTTAAGTTCTTCCTCTTGCTCAGGCCTATTAATTGCAGAAAACATTTGATGACACTGTCATTCTTATTGGAAGAACATAGTTCTTAGATTGTTCCATTTTAATGTTTTCCTGTTGGCAAGAAATATCTAGAATCAATCGAATTACGTTTCTTCAGCGAGAACTACTTACGACAATGTAACTGTCAAGAATTAATCCTAAACCAAAGGATATAGAAATTCGGATCCAAAATAATTGTAAAATATCTTGTTACCCAATTTTTACTCATTTAGCTGTTTCATTTTATATTAACTCATTCTGCATCATTTATTTTTTCTGCAGGATGAGTTTTTATGATTACTTATTCGTATTTTTTTGATTGCTCGGTAGATTTTCAATCATCTTTTCATTTAGTGCTCAGTGTTAACGCTTCATTAAATTGAAATTCTACTATTTCTATTTCTTTATTTAACAATTCCTATTGTAACTGAAAATGAACCAATTACGAATTAATCTCTGCGACATATTGTTGCGCAATATAACTAATATTTGGAGAATGTCAGCAGGACAAGCAAAAATGTGGACTCATATGTTCCTGTTATGCAGCCAACAGCTATTTATAATAGCCTCTTAGAGCTTTTTCCTCTTCAGATAATTAATGGTAGCGGTCGGTTGCCCAGCACCCCTCCATTTGTCTCGTCTCTTCTCTCCTACCTGGCTTCGATTTCAATTAATTCCTAACAAATAAATATGCCATACATAAGGTATAACATCGCTTTTGATTACATTGCATTTGATTAATTATATACCAATGAAAGCCATAATACAGAAAACTTCAAGGAACATATTTTTATACATTATAATATACCAATTGTTATTTTCATTATACAGGGTGCTATTATCGGAAATACTGTAGCACGAGATGTACGTGATGCAATCTACGTAATTACTAGAGGTGATTACTATGAATTAAAGAATTCTTACTTATTACATTTTGCAGTTGTAATAAATACAAATCTGTTGTTTAACAATTAACGACTTAAAAATGACTCTATTTAAAAACTAATCTTCACTTTTTGAGTAACACTAGCATTTTTCTCATCTTTTTTTGTCAATTTTTATTTCTTCGCATGGAAAAATCTGTCATATCTGTCAACACATTTCAATCAAGTTGATCTATGTAATAAAACTTAAATTCCTCTTTGTACATTTCTCATTGAAGGTGAATAATTTGATAGGATGAAGTGCAGCGTACGGTAGATACCACACAAATGGACGTGAATTTGAAAGAGGAGGAGAGATGGACATTGACAAGGGCAATAATCATTAGACGTATCATTTTGTAATTGTACCAACAAAGCCACTCGACACACACGTAACAGACAACATCCTGAAGAGTAATCAATCAGCCAACCCAATTTATTTTCAGTTTTTCCCATTTTCTCTTCCTGAACCAAGCTATTGCTGATGCTCTTCCGACATTTTTTTTTAATTGAAATTCCTGGAAAATTCACAAAATAAAATCGAACTTAGCACTGAAATTCCAAAATTCTTTTTCCCATTTCTTGACTGATTTTTATTTATTTCTTTCTTTGTTTACCATATCTCGTCTGACAAACACTAGCATATCTGTACAACAGTCATCTAATTTAAATGTTAAAATTTCAATTTTCTTCATTTTTTGTCTTTGTTGGGAAGTTATTTGGTTTTAATTTATCACAGTGTTCTATTATTGAATGATTACTTTTACCATTAACAGCCCATTCCCTTAAATTACAATGATTTTTGCAGTCATCGAAAAGAAAAACAATTACTAGTGATTATCAGAAAAAAAAATTGTTATTTATGTTCATCCACTTACAAAAACATATCTTCCGCTGGCGACTTCATTTTTGCGCCTTCAAGCATACTTCATTAAAGGATGACGAAAATTTGTAGTTCTCTTTTGCTCATTCCTTTTGCTCTTTCGACTGCTAAAAGTAATGCCAAGCGGCAACCTTCATAGATCATTTGAAAGACTGACACTTTCATTGCTCTCCAAATTTGTTTCCTGTCGTGACTAAAACTATTTGCAGTCATTTGGATTCCTTCTGTATGATATCGCATGATAGATCAGAAATTTTTCTTTTCTCATTTCAATGTAATTAAAAGCTCTTTCAAAAATTAATTTTGAAAAAACTTTGTGAACTTTGAAAAAAAATATAATCATATTTGTTTCTAGTTTGCAAATCTCTTACTTTCTATTTATTATCTTGGAGGCACTGTGCATCACGACAGTTTCGAGATGCAGATCTGATGAATTTGCCCTCTTCTCTTTCATTAGATTTCGTAGCACTGCAACTTTCATAAAACATGGTTAAACTGCAATTATTTAGCCGATATACTTCTCTCAGAGAATTCAATGGCAAGTATATGTGAGTAAAATAAGTATCTATCGAAATATAACATAATATCCTTCTGATGAAATTAGCCAATTGAACACAAATGTAATGTGAACTATCTAGCCAAAATATTAGTGCTCCCAACAAATCGCTTTTTTCTTCACTTCTATCATGGCAAAAGCAAAAAAGCAAACTGATTGATATGTTAAGTAATATTTTACTACTTAAATTATACCCTTTCAAATTTCCTTCTTTAATTTTTCAGTATTTTATTAATGGCTTAATCATATATCTACCGTCATTTAGAATTATTAGAATCATAATCATTTAGAAATGTACCCATACCTTATTATGCGTTGCACTTCATTGAGATTATTATTTAATTTTTCAATTTCCTTTCTCGATTTATTCCTTAGTTTTTAGTCATCAAATTTAAATCTGTTCAAATTTCCTACAGCTATGGTAAAAAATTTTTCTAATCTTCACACAATACATTAATTTATTGTAGTAAAATAAGTTACAAATATTTAGGCGTGTGGAGACGTAGAAGAAATCGTAACTATTATTAATAAATATACTGCATTTCGATCCAACCGCATTCAACAAAATTAATTTATTGTAAATACATTAGCTTTTATATACGTACGTTAGCTTTTGAAGTTGTTTCATTGTAAAATTGCTTTATTATCTTTTTTTTGGTGTTTCTAAAAATTTACTTATTTAATCAGATTTTAATTTAATTAATAATTCTTTTATCAATGGGGTAAATAGTGACTACTTCAATCCCACGAGTCAATTTATTCTATCAAATGCCAAAGCTATCCTTTCTTCTGATTAATGGTTCGCTTGGGAATAGGTATTCTCCAGTAATGACATTGAAATTGAAGCGATTGTTATTGCTTGAGAATACAAATTGTCAAAGAGAACCGAGTACCTGCCAAGATAACTAACTCCCAGTAATCACTCGCTCATACAGCTCATAAGTCTAATCAGTTAAAAACACAATACCTTATTGTTTAACACATGACATATAAGATGAATGATATTTACCATCGAAACAACATGTCAGCACTATAGAACCTCTATCTCACTTTTTAGAATTACAGTTTGAGTGAGGCAAAAGTTTTAAGGGCAAAGAAGTGCAAATTTTAGAGGTAAATCTACTTGCACACTGTGGTGTCAGAATGTCGCAGAAGTTCCAATGTTGCAGAATAATTCTTTTTTATTTATATCAAATCCAAAAAAGTGTAATTGTTCTAGATTTCAGATTAAATACAAGCTAGAAATTAGTGGCTCTACTCACTTGAAGGAAAGTACCATGAAATCATATAACATGTCATTCATTTGAAATTCAAAATTATTCTTATACATTCATTTATCGCACATAGGTTGTAAGTTCAATTCCCGACTCTTTTGCAAATTCAATAGGATAGAACATGCATGTACTTTTGATGTTAGTAAAAATCTTTGTAATCCCTCAAGTTATATGAAAAATAAACATTGCTTCAAGCGATATTACACGTTGCGCTCTGATTCAATTTGGAAGTTTTATTTCCTTCAATCGTTCCTTCAAATTTTCACATTCACATAGCAGGTATTTAGCTAATTTGGCTATTAATAATGCGAAGAGATATCGTAATAGCTTGGAAAAAATGATTGATAACTTATAAAATAACTTTGAAATCCAAAAATGAGAAAAAGGAAGCGTAAAAATCATCTGCATTTTATTGTTATTATTTTTTTTAATACGAAGATTGATAATGGTTTTGATACATTTAGTTATGCTGAAAACTTACGAAAAAATCTGGGAGGGATATATGTCGTAGGAAAATTATCAAAGTGAAAGAACTGAGAATGATATTTGTTTGAAAATAATAATTTAGATATGCATAATTTTGCTTATTAATCACGGGGAGATAATGAATGAGATCGCAAATCTTAATTGATTTGAAGGTACAAGGAAATGCATTGTTTAATGGTTAAAGCAAGATTAATTTATTTTTTCATTTCCTAGAAAAAGAACGAAAAGGAAAAATCCATTCCACATAAATAACGAGTTGTCGTTAAATCGTATTTTTCTAATAGATAAAAAAAATTATAGATCTTCCAAATGCAACTTTAGAAAGTTTCTCAAATGTAAAGCATTCAGAAAATCCATTACTTGTAATTCCAATCCAAACAAAATTTCAAAAGTCTGTTATTTCTTGTTCAAGATGGAAAATTTCAGTAGTCGTAAAACGACATGTTATCTCCAGGACTCCTACCTCTAATTATGTTCATAATATGTTGATGGAATATGGTAAGTTGAGACTTATTAAAGCTTTGAAAATGCATAGGCGACAATCGATAATTTTTTACCGATTAGTACATACTATAGGTTGAACTCAGCTTACCACAGGCCGTACATAAATGTTTTGCAAGTTCATTTCGTCCTCATTTCTTAGAGAATATTTTTCATCAATATTAGTTAATGAAGAAGTAATTATATAATTTTGTACTGTGTTTTCAAAGGACTGTTGCAATATTATATATGATTTCAATACTCATATCTTATATTCCTCTCTTCCTATTTATTCAATCTATTTTAGATTAAAGAAATGATAGACAAACTGTAGACTCGAACGTTTATTTACATGAATTTAAGAAGCAGAAAAAACTTTTGCTATCAACAGCACAATTGGCTCAGAAACTGCTCACAAGATTTAATGGAATTCCACTCAAGTTTTGTGATAGAGATAAGTACCTTGAAGATAAAATGCATAATGATTGAATTTGATATTTAAAGTAAATTAGTTTGGTTTTTTTGTTTCTCCGATGATCAAACAACAACAACAACGGATCACTTCTCGATCGGATAGTGACGTGTGACTTCTTATGGAAAGTAAATTGCATACCACAACCGTTTTCATGGAAAATTAATTTGCACTAAAAAATATTATAGACATTATCGTTACCTTCAATCTGATTCATTACAGCTTTCTGAATTTGATGGAATCATTAGATACAAATGCACTCAGCAAACTCTGCAGCTTCACCAAACAGCTCAGTTCGTGACAAAACCCGAGAATATATTGGACAACCACAGTTTCAAAAGTTAATCAAACTTTACCTTACCGACAATACTTAACTTGCCTTTGACCAACGGAAATGAGTTCAAAGAATGTATCGGCTTATGAAAGAAGAATTCTATATCGTAGGAACATATGAATTAACTTCTGACAAAATTACCATAGTTCTCTTTTGACTAATGTAAGTCTTGCAAGCCTAGTTGTGTAATGATTTGGGATTCACTTTCCCGAAAATATAGCTTCTGCATGAACCAAATATTTCTTGAAAAGAACTTTCAAAAACAAATGCTAATCAAGCGAAATGGTTAAATATATACTGGCTTAAGTGTTGACTGTTATTAAAATGAATCTTCTCCGCCTAAACAAAACGATACAGCAATGAAACTCTGCTTGTTACTTTCAGTTTAATACGTAGCAAAAAATCATTCTGAACACATTAACAGCCCGTCCCATACTAAGTTCAAAAGTCAACTAATTCACGTGAAAATGTAAATCCCAAATGTCACTGATGAAAACTCGTGTTTTAGTGGCGAACTGTTAACACTGATAGCCTTTAATGTTTTTAGAAGAAAGATTATAAACTTTGGATTATAAAATGTATCATTCCCTCCAGATGTTATTAAACAATTCCTGTTTTTATTATATAACAAATTTTGTTCCTTTTGGTGAAGACGATTTTGTTCTTTATTTCCACTGCTGCACGATGTTTTATATGCAGAAAAATGAGAAATATCACAATTTTATATGAATAGTTTGCGATCAAATCAAATGATTGTTTTGTAAACAATCGAAAAATTCTTTTGAAGAGAAAATCACAATACATTTTTGCTTGGCAATGTCTCAGTAATGCTCAAAAATAAATGCTGATGTTTGCGTTTTCTACCGACCAACATCTACTAAAATTTTGGTAGTAATCTCCTCAGTTCATTTTATTGAAACATCAGTAGTTGATTTACAAAACTTGAAAGGAACAGAAAACCTGACACATCTGAAGCGAACGTGAAAGAACTAAAAGAAGTCTGATCAAAACGCGTAAAAGAAAGTTAAAATTCTCAACCGAAAATGTCATGAATCAGATTGCTTATCAAATCTACCCGAAAATGACGTCTCAAAGAGACACAAATGACCCGAAATTGGCTGGAAGCTGTCCCTAGGAATATTAATGGCAGAAGTTCCTAGAAGTTATGAACCAATTACCACGACTGAGGGATGAATAAAGCAAAGTAATAGTTGTGTAAAACTATATAGGAATGAATCCGAAAGCATGAAAGCAATTAACAGCATTCCTTACAGCGATAAAGCAAAAGTACTATTCCCTCTTCCTTAGACAACTAATGAGATCAATATTATATAAAATATCTCTCATTTGTAAAATTTAGACTTTTAGAATGCCTGTCTTACATAGCACTGAAAGGCATCAATTATCGACTGATGATTGATCGATATTGCATTTAATCATTAAATGATACCTTTTTAAAGATTATCAGAGAATTATGTGTCATCATTAGTAGCATTATTGGTTGTACTGCATTGTTGTTTCTCAATAGCAGCATGTCGTTTAACGACTAATCTTTGCTGTTTTTCGGATGTTATAAGAGGTACCACAGTTGACGATAATTCTAGTTGTTCCTGTTCTTGTGATGATTCTCGACGACGTTTTTTCCTATTGGACGTAATGATCGGTCCAGTGTCATCACGATTACCAATCATTGCTATCAGTGAAGATGACGATGATGCGGCAGTTAATTCGTTTCCGGAATCAACAATACTTTCGTCTAGCCCTGGGCTTCTGCAATTTTCAGTATTAACTGAAATGATCTATTCATTTTTGTGAAATCACTCTTAATCAGTAACAAATATTTGAGTTTAAAATAAACATTAATTAACCTTACCAAAACCTTATTTATAGCCATTGTATAATTGAGTAATTCAGTCGTTGATCAAATTGATTAAACTTCTATAGCTGCATTTAAACAACTATAGTAGATGAAGTAGACATTGTCGTAAATCCTAAAACACTTCTCAAACCAATAATAAATAAATTTACCCAGCTGAAGCAGAGCTCTGTGGAGATTGAGACGGTTCACTAGGGTAAAATAAATCCATTACAACTAGCGAACGTTGCCTTTTTGTATCCGCATCACCTTTCTTCATTCCTTTAACATAGTTATAACCCGCATCCTTTACTACCTGCAAGAGGATAAGACAACTATAAAAAACGATCAGATGATGGGAATAAACAAAAATTTCGAAAATCTGCAAGATTTTCACTTCAAAATTCTCGAACCTGTCGAGCAAGTGGAAACAATTCGTCACGCCTGGTCAAAAGCGCAGGTTGTCGAAGGCATAACTGTGCTGCTGCTTCATTTACTGAAACTTCATGCAAAGTTAACGGCTTATCCGGTTTACGTTTCGCATCGAAACGCCCATAAATTGCTGAATATCTCCGATATTCTTGTAGACGTTGGGGTGAACCGAACGGTAACTGCATCACATCGAGTAGTTCCCTTAAGAAAAAAATCTTAAATAAATTGATTTGAATCATCCAAGTTTATTCCCACAACATTTTTTCCATCAATATTTACCACACAATTACTTTCAAAATAGTCTACAACTACTGTTACAAAACAACAGAAATTGCAAATTCTAGGCAGTTTAGCATGACCAACTTCAGTAAATAAGGACCAATATCACTTACCGCACTATGGTTAATACTAACATTCAGTATATTTTCTCCTAATTCAATTGAATTTAAGTCCAGTAAATTTAAAGGAAAAACCCAAATTGATACATTCTAAAGAAATACTGGCAAGTTAAGTAACTTCTTACCGACTGATTTTCTTTTTATTCTGTATCAATTTGGGTTCTAGCTGCGGCATTTGTTCGATAAGACGATGGGAACACTGAGCAAGTCTTCCAATTTGAGCCTCCGTCAATACTGGTGTTTCGGATGTCGTATTTGTCCCTTCAGAAATATTATAATAAATCCTTTACAACCAATTTCGATATATTTTGACATATCCATAGACGGCAGAAGAGAAGAAGGAGACAATTTTTATCATCCTCTACTTGTAACTTTCAATTAGTGCCTACCTCAAACCAAGAAAGATGACAATTATCTTTACTCACCTACTCCTAGCTGATCGAAATCGCAATTTGCTTCGTTACTGCTTGTCGGAGAACCAACAGAAAGTTGAAGTAAGCCGGATGTTGCGGATGTACTTTCTGTACATAAGGACGTCATCTTGGATGATGTTACTGACTCCAATCCATGCATGGAATTGGATGCAGCACCGCTGCTGGATTGCGGTATACCAGCCACTAAACTCGTCAGGAAATCACCGGCCATTACATTTGCCGTAGCACTAATAGTTGCTGTGGTAGATGTTGTTCCCGACGTACCTACTCCGGCTACCGCTGCCACCGTTGCAGCATTGAATAATTCATGCAGCGATTCCGATGCTATAATTGACTTTTGATTAATCTCTCACAGAAATCCTAATCACTTTAATTTAAAGAGGAGGTCATTAAATTATGCTACAATAAAACGAGTTGGACAAGAATTTAAATTAATTTCGGAAACTATCAGGATCATTATTATGATAATTTATTTCAAAAACTGCACTCGAAACTTGTGTTCTCCCGTTAGCATCAGTTGCTTTTTGATTAAATCAAGTCATAAGCAATTGGGATCAGTAAAAAGTTTGAAACACTTTTGAACTACTGCAAGCTAATCGTAGTAATTATAAAGTTATAGGAAATTATCTGAATAAGCCTCAACCGACCTGATACTAGTGGCTGTAGCAGCGATCGCGGCGAGTTTTGATCATTCTAGAAAAAATTCTAAAAATTGATTAGCCAAATGAATAAAAGAGAGGAGAAATGTAACCTGCCTTGTTTTTCCATAATTTAAAATTTAAAAAAAAAAAAAAAAGTATAATATCACAATACTATGTGCTTAGGCTTGTTTAACAATCAAAATTTTCGATAATTTTCTAAAAAAAAAATTGAAAAATTACACTAATAGACGGACTAGTGCATGGCAAACCAGCAGCAACAGCCAAACTTGCAGCAGCTAGATTTTGTGATGACAAGAGGAATTGCAGTGCAGTAGCTGGTGTAGCTGATGATGTTGGTGGGATGTATCCATAGCTTGCAGCAGCAGGTGGTAAACCGATCTGCTGTATAGCAACCAGACTGAATGCATCCGGATCTTTACTGAATTCCTCAAATTAATCTCAAACTTACATTCGATTATAATATTCCACAAATTCACTACACATAGGTGTACATACATTTTTAAACACTTGCATATTTTCAAATTTGGACTTAAGTAATCTTGTATCTTCAACAGCAACAAAATTTTCAATTAAAATTTAGTTTAAGTAGTGGGAAATAGTTATAAAAATGTGCTGAATCATTGCAAAGAAAAATATGAGTGAAATTGCACTCAAAATAATTATTGTAGAAATTACTAACAGTGAGTGTTCGTTGAAATCTTCGGACATGAAGCGGTTTTGAGGCCATTCCAACTACTGACATTATTTCTAGGAATTCATGTTCGTCGCATGTCATAAATTGATTGATGTCATCTCCACCTAAAAACTGAAAATCTATTACCGTGTGATGGTAAAATGAAGTAAGTTAAAGACGGCATTAAATCTTCTCTGTTCGTCAAGAAATCAGCGACAAAGACGCACGTAATATAAATATGAAAATCTAATTGCAAATTTTGAAAAATGGAAAATATTTCCTAACACAATTAAAAATCAGCTTTGTTTCTTATAATGTAGCCAGAAACTAGCTTCTAAAGATTTCAAAATATTTCATATAGCGAACAGCAGATATGACAAGTTTATCTCAAAGTGTAGGAATTTAGAGAAGTTGCGAAGATTTCGGAATTAATTTTCCATATTTCTTATCATATTTTCTTTCAATTTACAATATGTAACACTATTGCAGAATAACAACAATACTCATAAATGGAGGTAACTCCGGGTTTCCGTAAATGAAAAGTATTCCAGTCATATATTTTAACATTTTACAGTCTTCAACTAAGTGTGTCGAAAATAACTTAAAAACTAAGTGTACATAACTCATATTAATTAAAGCGAAAAATACATGGATCCACTAGCAGTGGCTTATATCTGTTGAAAGTTTGAAAAATTTATGCTACATTATGTTTTTTCAGAGAAATCTAATTCATATAACCATCAGGTTATATGAATTAGATTACTGATGCATAATTTCACACAGCCATGAATCAACTCATCACATTATCACTAACTCATTAAGTTAACTGTTTCGAAGGAAGAAAGAAGGGAAGGGATATTATATGAAAAGATCACATTTAATTTTATTTGATAGAGAATGATTAAAAAAATATAAGAAAATGACCTAACACAACTTAAAATATATTAAACTTCAATAAAAATGGTTTAAAACCGCTAAAATCGATGTTCTGTTGATGTATGGATTAAAGCAATAACATTTTTCTAGCGAAATACCGGTAATGGAACTGCGAACAGGTATATTTATCAGTTCGAAATTGCTTGATGTTGTATCACTTGCCCAAAATGCAAACAATAAAAAATGAAGTAGTCAGCCGTTATATTTTCGACTTGTCAAGAACGGAAATAAGACAGAAGAAGCAGACAGAATTCGAACATTAGTAACAATCGGAAACGCAGAAAAATATGAACATAAAAAAATTTGGTAAGAAATATATAAATCCTTCAACCTTGAGCAATAAATTCGTCGTAATACTGCAATAAATTGGCCCGATGAAGTACAGCAAGTAGTTGCCATTCCGAAAAAGTTGTTGGTTGTCTGCTACCTGACCTGAAACTTAATATTAAAAAAAGTGAAATACGGGAGCGAAAGATAGTGTACAAGAAATACTTGATCTCTTTGATCAGAATTTAATGTTTTGTGTTGCATTTGCCAATTTTTTTCATTGATTTTCATCCTTTTACAAAAAATTCATTACCCCTTATGTCCAAGGTACAGACAAAAATCCGATAATTTTAAAAAGGATTGCTCAGTTCCTATAGCATTTTGAAAATCCTGACTCTAAAACAGATTTAAAAGTTCAATACAACTATACCTCCAAGGTGAATGATAATGAGGGGATACTAGAAATACACAAATACATATGCACACATACACACACACAATCACATACGGTTATTCATTAGTAAATTCTCCTTGATTAGTATGTTATAAAGAAATCAGCAGATAACCTTGGCTGTTGCCGTGGTGGCGCGATGATCGATGAAGACGGGCTTGGTGTGCTTGGTAGCTCAGAAATTTTGTCGTCTGGTTGCGGAAGTTCACCCTGGGTCTTCGTCGCCAGATCCAGGTCTTCCAACTTGTTTTTCCAAGAAAAACACAGTTTCTAATGGATGAATTGAAAGGTTGTTCAGTCAAATATAGAGCAAAACAATTCAGAAAAAAGGAATTTTACTGGAGCAGAAAATGCAAGTGCATAATGATGGGAACCTGTTTTATAGTGCAGACAGATGGATTAGCTTTAGTTCCACTTAATTATTGCAATAAAATCGATACTGGCCAAGTGTAGCCTAGTGACTACTATAGCCAAGAAAAAAGCTCGAACTGCTGTAATTGTTTTTACAGTGATAAAGAACAGCAATGAATCGTGACAATAGTAATAAGTTACGAGATCAGCTCTGGTGTTGGATTGACCCTGATAATAGTTGCTCCGGTGCTTTGCACACAAATAATGCATTCGATGCTATATAAATTATATTTGGAATAGAGACCGATTACAACGGACGAATCTTTTACTTTTGTACCTGTTGCTGGTCTACGCCCCGAGAACACTATCTGATAGCGTCCGGGGTTGATTTGGTTACATAAAAACCTGCAAAAAAGAAAGAAATGAGATGCATAATTTCTCCGAACTTTATTACAGACATGTAGAAATATTCTTCAAGCATAGAACGATTATTTACAAAAACAAAAATAAAAAGTTTTGGAGAAAAAGAAAACAACGTGTTGCTTCTAATCACTCTTTTGTAATTTACCTTTTTGAGAATGGTAGCAACTGAAAAAATCATTAAGTTGTATGACTCATTGATGCTACAAAAAACTGGAGAGTATCTTTGCCATCAGTTTGAAATAACACATTGGGTGGTCTTCACCACTCCGATATTTCGAACAAAAGGCAGCAGAGAAACTGATAGGGAGAGTTAAGAGTTTTTTATTTTCTTTTTATTGTTCTTCCTTGGATTAATTCTAGCATAAGAAATTCTATGGCGAAGAGTCGAAAGTACTATCGAGAACATCCCAATTGTGCCTCCGGACAAATTGGCTCTTTTTATGATCTTATGGCAGGAAGAACGTCCGCTTGCTTGCAGAGCGTTTTGTGTGTCTACTGACAAATAATCTTTCATTAGCAAAAATCTTATTTCTTTCCTTTTTTCCCTTTTTTTTTTGAATTTCGAGGGCTGCAATCTGTGAAAGTCATTAAAACAGTAATGGATGAAGATTCTTTATGAATAATGAAGCTTATTAAAATAATTCACTGAGTAAGATAACACCTGTCACTGAATGAAACATTGTAACCTTAAAAAGAAGCGATTTTTTAATTTAAGTGGAAAAATTTTGCTGAAAGGAATTAAGAAAGAAAACGAAGAACAAAGTATCATCTCACAATTAGCACTTGAAATGAAAAAAGAAAAAAAATTAGAATTGAAAAAAGCATTAAATAGTCACCGAATAGATCACCACCATATCATCCAGTTCTTTCTCGTCTATGTTTAAGCACTGTAGATGGGTGCATCGAAGCACATACTTCAAAATGGCAATAAAAAACGAATTTACTGGTGACAACTGAGGGAAGAAAGAAATCTTTAAAGAAGGCAAAATTATTTCATTGGATGCAAAATAATATTTCCCAAATAAAAATAATAACTCTACTGATAAGCGACAACTAAAATCGTTAATGGTATTAAAAATTAAAATTTGTCTTCTACTGGGAACTAATTCCATTTCAAATAAGTGCTGACTAACGCTGATACAAATTTTTTTAATCTTCTAAAAATTAACAGCGTAATTAATATCTTACTTACAGTGCTTCCCTATGAATATACAGGCAATATTTAAATTATGATCCGATACCAATGAAAGACATTTTCCAATAGTGAACGATAATCGTTGAATAAAATATTTGACATCACATAATGCGGGTTTTCTGAGTATTAGAAAAAGTTTGTTCCTGAATTTGCATTCATAATGAGGTGCAAAAGAAAAAAAAAATGAAAAACTTGGTCAAATGATGTCTTATTGAAGATGCATTCGTTAAACAAATAAATCACTCTAAGATATATATGATAATAAATTTACTACAAATGAAAGCTTTTTTCTATTCAAGAAAGACATAGAAAATTTTGGACCTACATCTGAGCAAAACACCTTTTCCTATCTATTTTTTCAAAAATTATTTGGGAATCTCTTATGCAACATTTTTCGGTTTTTCAAATTACAAATGCTATTCTCTTTTTTGTTATATTCAACAAAAGTACAGTTCATATCATCACATCGAATACATATCCATTAGAAACTTTTGCAATAAACTCGACCAATCTTAAAACATTTAAATTGAGGATGACGATATATACTGTCCATGCTACAATAGGGCGGCTGAAAGTGTTAAATTTTCTGGAAACGAAAAACCAGTATAATTGTCTTTATCGATTCCTTTTCCAAATGCAAATCCAATAATTTCTAACTTCTATTTTTGTCGTTTAGTGGAAGACAACGTTGATTTGTTTAACATAATTACTTAATGAAATCATTTTATGCTGCTATCACAAAATAACGCCTTCCCTTATCTAGTTGTCCCATTTCTGTGATAAACATTCAAAAAATATTATGCATCTTTCCGCTAAATAGCAAGAAACCATAGAATAAGATCGAGGAAAGTAATTTGGAATGTTGAATACTGACAGATCTGATTTTCAAGAACTTTCAAAAAAAAAGAGTCGAAAACACCTTCAATTGTCATTTTCCGTAAGCAAAGTATTATGGTACTATGGTACAAGCTCTCCTTCTTTCTCTTTTTTTTCTCTCTTTCCCTTTCTTTATGAGGGATCATATTTACAACCTTCCAGTTAAGAATTTTCTCTTTCTGCTCTGCCCTCTTCAATCTTTCATTCCCCAACAATTTCCATGAGTAATGTTCTTTGAGCAACAAAAACCAGTTATTTCGAAGCAATTCATAAGACACGCGTTCTTCCACTTCCCTAAAATAGCTAAAATCACTTCTGAAAATCTCCGTCGTTACTGTACCTTCAGTAACTGTTGACTGAGACATATTATGTAACCTGGTTATCATCAGCTAGCAAATGACTTTGCTTTGATGCTACCTTGCTATTACATATTCATGGTTGACTGTCTAGTAATAACCTGGATAAAACATGTTGCACTGTGCATCGTGCATCTCTGGCAATTCTGAAATCTGAATTTAATCATATTTTTAAGATAATAACTGAATGAGCTACAAGTTAGAAAGGACGTTAGACCACGTGGTGGTACATCTAATTTTACGCTAA